CGCCCTACCGTCCTCTAATTTTATTCTTAAGCTATCCTCGCGCTCTCGTTCCTCTACCATAACGGGTCCTTCCCATCGATTGTCGGATTTGTTATCTTGGTACGTTTTCCTCACCAGGACCATATACCCGAAGCCAAAATCGACGAGTCGTGGCTGGCAGTAATTTCCTTCCGGTGGTTGAAGAACAAACAGCCAGAGGAATCCAGACTTGCCTTGACCACTGATGGACCCTTGAAGTTCCAAACCGAACTTAGACGAAACTAATGTATATCCTAACATGCTGAAGCGAACTTACGAAATTCCCGTGCTGAAGTGAACTTAACTTAAACAGAACTGAACTTCATTTCCGAAATCACGAAGTGAATTGAACTTAAAACTCCCGCTTCGACATCAATCTTTTATAGCCGTCGAAAACGGGTTGGTCGACCAAGCAATGCTTATCGAGCTGTAGCACTATGCAAATAAAGTGTGCGTGATTCCCGGCCGACCAATCAGCGATTACCAGTCGTAACGCTATGCAAATATTCCTATTCCTGTTCAATCAGCTATCATCGAGCCATATTCTTATGCAAATCATGCCGTGTGGCGTGTTAACTGCTGACCAACCAGCGGCCGCTCATTCAAAAAGCCAACGGTCACTTTCAACCGTCTGTTCACGACCATTACTAGTTCAAAAGAAACTGGAATCGTGTCTTTACACGATCCAACCCTTATATAAAGATATCATTCTAGTTTTTTTAACTAGTGTACTGTACGTTCAAAAAACTTAGTGTACGTTCTCATGACATACCCTAACTGTGTACTAAATTTCAATTTAAACTCCTAACTGTTTGGACTCTGCGCTTATTATTATTATCATTCTCATATTATACTCATCTCGATTATATTATAATATTTTCAAATTGTTTCAATAAGATTTGTTTTTTATATTCGTGAATATTACATTAAATTTGAGATAACATACGCTGAGGAAAATCTGGGCGAGTCGAAAAATTCAAGGAGGGGACCACCCTCAAAAATTTGAAAAATTGTAAACCTAAGTATACTGTCGTCCGTCAGCCTGTCTTTCCTTAATCTCGAGAAAGAAGTTATATAGATGAAAGACGAAACCAGATGCAGAAACTATAGAGGCAGGAGTCCCTGGATTAATTATACCCGAACGTCAGGTTATTTCATTTCAAAAATTCTCCCTGAAACGAGTTAGACACATCGGCACGATCGGCTAGACGCGAATAATTTGAGGTGGAAACATTTATTTTAAATTATTATTTTTCAGTTTATTTTGAATTCTCTTGTACTGTACTAGGCGATTACATCAAGTTATTAAATATTACTAACTTTAATTTTAAGTTATAGTTCAGTTGCGGCTGTAAACGGCATATAACTTAATTGGATTCACAACCCAGTACAATACTGTGCAATATTTTTGCTTCCATGTAGGTCTTTGAAAATATTCAATTGAGTTTAATTGTTTTTTTTGCATGAACCTTATTTCACGCAAAACACCTCCAAAAATATATATAATTTAAATAAATATAATAATAAGACAGAAAACATTAAATAACAATTTTAAACAATTAGCTTAAATTTGACTGTCCCAAAAATATGAACGCACATTCAAATTAAGATACTAGAGAGAACCCAGCAGAAAGTATTAGAAATGATTATAGTTGATTAGATAGAATGACGCATTTGCAATGGACCGAGGCAAATCCTACACGGACGTGCAATTTCTTGCCTATTGCTGGAAATCGATGGTTCTGTCAACAAGACAATGCTCCCATTCACTCAGCAAACTCTACGTATAAATAGTTTTTCGCTAATGAGGATACCTATTAATTAGCCAGCTCTATCTCTTGATTTTAGTCCGATGAAAAAAATCTGCCAGACTGCATTCACGAAGTTATTTTAGCCTAATTCCGTTTCATTGGCTGTTAACTTATTGTTAAATATAATTTATTAACATATCATTAATTCTATCAGTTAATTTTGTTATATGCCTTTGTATTTTTAGCACAGTCAAATTTAATGTAATCCTTTAAACTTATTGTTCAGTTTTTTCTGGCGATCAGAAAAAGTATGGCGATCAGAAAAATGACTCCAGAAATTTTTATATTTCTGGACTCAGGACATCGAAATGTCAAAAAATACAAATAAATTTTCGAAAGTTTTTTTCTACGTGGAACGGAATTAGTGAAGATTTTATATGTTATTGGCATTTACAATTTGCTTTACAAAACTTATTCGTACACATAAAATTAACGTTTTTGCCATTCTATAATAATCAATAATATAAAACTTTTTAAAATAAAATTTCCTAAAATCTCCACAGAAAATTTTAACTCTTGCTAGGAAAGTTACGTACTATACAAGGCCCGCTCTATGGGCGGACAACCCGGATATTTGTCCGGGGCGCCAAAGTTTAGAAGCGCCATTTTGGCTGTAAGATGTGAGAAAAATATTGATGTGTTAAATACTCAATTAATAGAAAATTTCACGTATCGATTTTTTTGTTCTCTAAAAATTTACAGTGCGTAGCGTATTTATATTGTTTATGCCTAAAAGCTGAAAATATTTACACTATTATTGAAAAATTAACGCAGAATTTGTAAAGGACGATGCTTGAACTTGTTTGAACATGCATATATTTTTCTGAACAGAATAGCATTAGCACGTGAACAGAGCCCTTCTTCAGCTTGTGTTTGAACAAGCATAGACTCAGTTATACTTAGCTCTAATTATAAAAGAGAGGTTTCATTACAAAATAGCATTATTCTTTCTATTACGTCGGTAGTGATAACAAGTGGAAGTTCATAAAATTTACTTAAGTGCGATTTCTTAAATTTTAAAGGTAAGTACTGTACATCTGTAATTAAGCTATTGTTTAGTTTGATAAATACTAGTTTATTGTAAGTCGATTATCAAATCGAAACAATTAAAGCGTTTTAAAATAAAATAAATATTTAATTTATCCGAAACGGCTGTTTATTAATTAAATCAAAAAATATTGTATTAAATTTAGTGTATTCTATAGGTATAATTATTTGTATTTTTGTTTTATAAAAATTATTATTTGAATCAATAATATAAGACATTTATTAAGTTCATATATTATTATTATAAAACGCGTTTTATAATAATTGAACTGAGTAAAATTTCAAAATCAAAAAATATAAAATTGTTTTTAATTAATGACTATTTATAGTTTGCTAAATTATTTGTTATTATAAAATACATATATAAAAACACTAGACTTTCTTTACGTTCACAGGATACAAAAAATATTATGTGTAGGCCATAAATATTTTTCATGTCCATTGACAGAATATAATTTTGAAGTTATGTTAATTAAAGTTTTAGCTTGTTTTGAACAAGGATAAATCTTTATTTTTTTAAATATTATTTTATAGTTTACATTGTTTAATTTGAGTTATATGCGTATCTCTTCCAGAATGTCTAATGGTCAAAGAAAACTGTCTGGTTATTAGTACAAAAAATCAGGCTGGAAAAGGAAGCCGAACGACAATAACAAGCTGGCGCGTTAAAAAATTATATATCCAGAGTTGTACCAAGACAAATGACTACTCTGAGAATTCAACATTAAGTCCGGTTATAAAAGAAAATACAAAATTGTCAGAGGAAGATGACAAACAAATGGACGAAGTTTCTAAATCAATTGGAACTGACAACACTCTGACTCTATCATCACCAGATGAAAGCATTGAAAAAATTGACATCAACGTGACTCCCACAGAAAGCGTTGAGTTCAGATCCAGCATTGTAGCCAAGAATGTTAGGAGACGTCAAAAGAAGTTTTTTAGTAAGGCAAGGTCCATCTAAACCATTGCATAATTACAAATTCCTTCCAATAACACTGGCCGACATTTTAGCGTGAATTATTATACACGAATTTTAAGCAATGGAGAGCAAATTTTACGAGACTGGCTAGTGTACTCTCTTTCACAAAACTGCGTTTACTGCTTCTGTTGCAAAATTTTCGGCTGTATAATTAGTTCTCTTTCAAAAAACGGTTTTAAAAGTTGGAAGCACCTCGGTGAAATTTTAAAAGAGCATGAATTTTCCAAAAATCATATTAAGGCCTAAAAACCATGGCTAGAAATGAACGTAAAACTAAACTGTTGTAAAACTATAGATGCGGCCTCTGAATGAATTATTAATGCCGAAACAAATAATTGAAACGAGGTGATTTTAAGAATCGTAGCAATTATTAAAATGTTTGGTAAAAGTGGTCTAGCTTTTCAAGGTGCAAGTGACAAGTTGAGTATAAAAATGGTAATTTCTTAAAAATAGTTAAGTTGCTATCTCAGTCTGATCCCATTGTTGAAGAGCACGTCCGCAGAATGCTAAATAAAGAACAGACTAAAGCTCACTATCTCGGGAAAAATATACAAAACCAGATAATTGATCTGCTGCATCAAAGTGTAAAGTCTCATATTATTGATGAAATTAAAAAATCAAAATATTTTCCCATAATTTTAGACTTACCCCTGACATTAGTAAGGTAGAACAAACAACTCTTGTAATCAGATATGTTTCAATCAATTAATTTGACGCTGATGTTGAAATTAAAATTAATGTAAACTTGTTAGACATCTTACCAGTCAAAAGATCCACAGGAAAACAAATGTCTGATATCATAATTAGAGAACTTAATGACTTGAGTTTAAATTTGTAGGTTATCAGAGGGCAGGGATACAACAACATGTCCAATATGAGGGGCGATAAAGCAAGAGTGCAATCTAGAATTAAACAATATAATTCGCGAGCATTCTATGTTTCGTGTAGTAGCCACTCTCTCAATCTTATTGTTAATGAATTGCTACCGAAATTGATGAGGAGGCTAATTTTGGATCAACAATAACATGACACCACATTAGAAGAGAGAAAAGGAACTTCTTATACAAAGCACGAGATGAACCCATGAAAGATCCAAAAGTAAAAAAAATATAAAATAAATTTTGTTTTTATTTTACAATCGATCAAGCACTAAATGCACTAAATGCTAGATTTGAACAATTTAATAATCACAGTAACTATTGTCAATTCTTATACAATATATACGATTTAAATGTCATGTCCAAAGAAATTCTACTAAAACACCGTAAGAATTTAAAATGCATCTTAATTTAATGCATCATGTAGTTAAATTTTGCCCAAATCTTACTATTGCTTTAAGAATATTGCTAACAATACCAATAACTGTAGCAAGTAGCGAAAGGAGTTTCTCTTAGTTAAAATTAATTAATAAATTTTTACGTTCGACTACTACACAAAATCGTCTTAATGATTTGGCCATGTTGGCAATTGTACATGAAATTGCTGATCAAGTAAATTTAAAAGATGCAATAAAAAAGTTTGCAAAACTGAAAGTAAGAAAAAAAAGTTTTTTTGTGATTTTAGCAGAGTTGACGTTACTTTGTTTTATTTTCAAAATAATGGCATTTTGATTCTGTGTGCAATAATACATTTTTCATAGCATTAAAAAATGAAAAAATTATATGGTTAATAATTTGTGGCTAGGTACAGATATTAGTTAATTTCTACTGTTTTGTACTGCTTGATCATCGATGTTATGTTATGTTTCTAAACATATGCTTTTATTAAAATTTAAATAAATTAATTTGATTTTTATTGAAAAATATGTACCTTTAATTAAAAAGGTATATATACAGTATATATATTCTTAAGGGGTGGCAATTTGTCTTTTAGTCCTGGGCGACGTAACCGCTAGAGCGGGCTTTGTTACGTAAGTAATAAATAAAATTATTTTATATGCACATAGGTGAAAGATCAAGTAATCCAGGATTAAAATATTTTTGCTAAGTTTTCAGTTTGAATGATTTCTATGAAAATCTATTATTGCCTTTATATTTACAGAATATGTATAAATTTTTGTACAATAATTGTACTGTAACCAAATACAATTTTGAATCAATGATTAGAATTGATTAATTAACGTGGAAAGCGCCTTCTTTGCTATTTACGTGGAAATTTCTGACGAATGAAAACCAACATTTGTATTACCGTCAAATCTGTGGCCGAGGTCTTTGCTACATTTATTTCTTTCGCGCATTTTCGATTTCATGTAATTCAGTGTCGATAAAATAACCGGCAAAAATACCAAAGCAGTAATAAAAGAAAACATAATAACCAAAAAGACTATTTTAAAAATCGTGACAAATATATAAGCCAATGGAATGGCTAAAGGTAACACGGCAATTATTGTAGTTGCACTACCTTGAAATATTGCAAATCCTACACAATCGATGCTATNATTTCTACTGTTTTGTACTGCTTGATCATCGATGTTATGTTATGTTTCTAAATATATGATTTTATTAAAATTTAAATAAAATAATTTGATTTTTATTGAAAATAAAAAGTATGTACCTTTATTTAAAAAGATATATATACAGTACATGTACATATATTCTTAAGGGGCGACAGTTTGTCTTTTTGTCCGGGGCGAAGTAACCGCTAGAGCGGACTTTGTTACGTAAGTAATAAATGAAATTATTTTACATGCACATATGTGAAAGTTCAAGTAATCCAGGATTAAAATATTTTTGCTAAGTTTTCAGTTTGAATGATTTCTATAAAAATCTATTACTGCCTTTATATTTACAGAATATGTATAAATTTTTGTACAATAATTGTACTGTAACCAAATACGTTATTGAATCAATGATTATAATTGATTAATTAACGTCGAAAGCGCCTTCTTTGCAATTTATGTGGAAATTTCTGACGAATGAAAACCAACATTTGTATTACTGTCAAATCTGTGGTCGAGGTCTTTGCTACATTTATTTCTTTTGCACATTTTCGATTTCGTGTAATTCAGTGTCGATAAAATAACCGGCAAAAATACCAAAGCAGTAATAAAAGAAAACATAATAACCAAAAAGATTATTTTAAATATCGTGACAAATATATACGCCAATGGAATGGCTAAAGGTAACACGGCAATTATTGTAGTTGCACTACCTTGAAATATAGCAAATCCTGTACAATCGATGCTATGACGAAGACGTTCATTGTAGCCTTCAATGTCGCAATGTCTATAAGCGTAAGAAAGATGAGCAGAATAATCGACCGAAAAACCAGAGCACATGACTAAGACAATCATAGACACTGGTGATAATTCGACATCCCACAGAGCCATGTATCCTAACGTCGAAATTTCGATAGTAACAATCGAAAAAGCTACAGAAAACGTAACGACAACGTCTGACATAAAAACGAAACAAACAAAAATTACAATTATTACAATACCACTCAACAACTGTACAGTAAATTTTACATACAAAACAAAGCCATCGAGACCATAATTGAAGAAGTGATAGGGAAACACTCTGAAAGGCATTTTATCAGTGATTTTCCTTAGTCTCTGTAAAGTCACGATGAATGATTTTTCGTTGACAGTGAAATTAGTCTGACAAAAGAATCTGCTTCCAACGATAGCTGTATAATCAGAGTTGAAGGCAATATCATTACGAAATCGTTGTGCATAAGGATGACGTAGAAACATTCGGCGCATAATTACAATAAAATCTTTTGTGTCGCTCATGTTGTACGACTTTACGATCGCAGACATTGAATCGTCTTTGACGAATTCCACAAAACTTCGGAGCCAAGACTCAGTAAGAAAATCTGCAATTAATCCTTCTCTCTCCATTTCAGAAAAAAGTTTTTCTATTTGATTCTGAATTTCCAAATCTGCATAATTAATTTCTTGATCGACAACGATTTGGATTCTATTTTCGTACTGCTTGAAATATTTAAAAACATTTTTATGATACTGCAAGTAATATGAATCGTATGCAGAAGAGTGGGAAAATGATCCTATAGGATCTGTTCTTGTCACTCCCCAAACTCCAACTGCCACGTATCCTGCCATGATGAAGAAAATAATTATCATGACATACCATAAGAATAAAATATTACCGAGCTTCGTCCAAATTGATGACGTAGGAGTCGTCGTGTCTTTAGTAGTTTTCCAAGAATCGGCGCTGAAGAGGATTTTTCGAATTCGCGAGTGGTTTTCTAGAGAGAAAAATTTATTGTCATTAGTTTCTTGAAGTGCTACCAAATCACTCGCTATTTTTTTACCTGTTTGTGTATTTATTTTCGTAAAGAATAAAGAATGTCTTTCTTGTTTCTCCACATATCCAAAGAGTGCCATGCATGCACCAACGAACGTTATCTGATAAATATAACAGAAGAGAATAGCAATCGATGCGTATAAACAAAAATAAGTTATTGCTCTGAAAGGTGTAAACAGTCCTGAAATGAACGCTATGAAATTCGTTACTGAAGTTACAGTAACAGAAATGGCGGATTCCGAATAAGCTTCTGAGAGTCTGTCTGGAACGGTCTTCCGTGGATCGGTTCTTTTCCACGCAGCAAGAAAGACAAAAGCATCGTCCATGGCTACTCCTGAAACGAAAATTTCATTAGAAAATTCTGGGAAAAAGTTATAAAAAAAGAAGAATTCTTATTGATAACAGAAACATTAAACTAAACTAACTAAAATAATTCACAACTAAACTATAGTAAATTAGTGTTATCTGTTACATTTACAATACGGTTCATATCGACAATTTATATAAAATTGAATACTTAAGAAGAAAAGTGCAATGAACCATGATTGGTGAATCACCATCATGGTTAAGCATTATAAAGAGGAAAGAGTAGGAAGTATAAATGAGGAAATAGGAATGTATTGTAAATAAAATTAAGTAGACACAGACAAAACAAAAAGAAGAATGGGTAAAATTGTATGGTTGATGTGGATCGGAAGTTTAATTGGAAATACAGTGAAGATTGAAAAAACAAAAGTTAAAGTGTCGTTTAAAGACCTGCTAAGGAGGGACGAACAAGTCCGAAACACATGGTAGATGTGTATGTGTTCAGGTGAACTAAATAAAGAACATTATTTTTGAACTGTAAGACTAAATATCTGCATTCATAATTTCCCAGTATAATAAGTCCTGTTAATATATAGAAAGTACTAGTATACAAAATAAATTATAAATAGATAAAAAATTACAAAAAGGCATAATAATTAGGATAAACAAGTTGTTTAGACTGTTAAAAGGGAAATCGGTATTCACACTAAAATATTTTAAAGCAAGTTTTTGTTGTTTCTTGTTTCTTGTATTAATAATTTACAGAAAATTAATTAACATACGCCATTTTATAACTAAAGTTAAATGTACTACTCGATTTATGCTCGTACCCCCAGGGGTACATGTACCCTCGATTGAGAACCATTGCTAAAGACAATACTACAACTTTCATTTTAAACTACAGTAGAGCGTCGATTTTCCGAATCAATTGAGGACTGGAGTTGTCCAGATAACTGATATATCGGATAACTGATTTACGTACGAAAAAATAGTTTAATGTATCCGATGTCGAAATTTTTTCTCCGTTGCGTGTGGCTTTGCGTTGAATTTTCGTCGATGTTAAGCCTAACGAAGACTATTGTATCGTTAAAAATTATTTTTTTATTTTGTACAAACAAAATAAATATATTGAAAAATAAAAAAATAATAATAAAATTATACTTCAGATGTTAATTTAGTATAAAAAACGTAAAATATTTGAGTAGCCCAAGACATAGCCAAAGATTGAAGCGCCACAGCACTGGCGAAAATTTAAATTTGCCGACTGGAATTCTTTCGGATGATTGACTTTCGGAAAATCGACGCTCTACTGTATAATAATAACAAACAATAATAAGAATTACGTTAGTGTGAGATTCTACTGTTCCAATAAATAATTTTTTTTTCTAAATTTTTGTAATAAAATAATTAATATAATTAATGAAACTTTACACATAATGGTTGCCAAAAAAAGGATAACGTTCTGTCACACTTTCGACACAAAGGATGTTGAATTTTCTTCCTCATACCCGTTATCACAAAATTTAAGCGCAACATTGAATGTTCGCCGCCTCTGCACATTTCCACACAATCCGACGTGTGGAAAAGTCACGATTTTAATTGGATGAAATGATTAAAATATAACGGGTAATTTCCTTTAATGCGGGAGTTTGTCGGAGACCCTCAAAAAGTTAAGATCTACTCGGTGGCCAGACTCCGAGAGCCAGCGCCCCGTGAGAGACTTCCTCATCGAAGAGTTGCTGCTATTACCTAGAGAAACCCGTCTCCCATCATGAATAAGAACATGAGCCAAGACCAGATCAGAATCTGAACACATTCAAATCATCACAAAGTTTGTATTCTTCTGGAGAGAAAAATAGAAGCTATATCTTCGAATCAACGACGAGTTAGTATGCTTCGAGATTAATTCGTTAGTATTCTCTCTTCGTGAGATAGGTTTCTAATAAGTCGTACTCTAATACGTATTATTTTATTTCCTTTTATTAAATATTTTTTGTTATTAATTTATTATAGTTTCGTTCTTGACGCAAATCCGAGCTAACGTCCATTCCACTTAATCGCGACCTTTCCACTCGAAATTCCTCTCAAACAACAACGAGCGTAGTTAACACTATATCTAGGCTGGTGTCAGGAAAAACAAACTGGCAGGGGTTTCTCACGAACTTCTGCTCTTCTATCAACGTCTTAGAAAGCCATCCTTCGACTCCGCGGGCCAATGCTAATCTTACCGATTGCGCCGCCGATTAAAAAGTGGAGAGACTAACCCAGACTTTCTACCCACGGCTAGCCTATCACAGTAGCAAAGTATTGTAAAAATCCGAAAACATTTTTTTTATAAGAAGCAATAGAAAAATACACAACAGATGCAATACGAAATAAGTATAATAAATAAATAAACGAAATAAAAGCAATAGGAACATAAGAAAACAATACAATAAATATAGGCCATAAATTAGCGATTGGTGAAAAATCCTGTAAAATTATTTATATTATTATGCAAACTTTTTATTACATTAATTTGTTCTTAACAAGTAGATGATTATTATTTATATGGTTAAACTAAAAGGTAAAGTTTTCAGTAACTCTTACCTATAATTAAAAAGGGTATAGATCCAGCAGAAGCCACAAACGGTGTATTAAAATACATGATCAATCCAAATGACGAAGCCAAACACATTCCTCCCGATGTTAATGCAATTATTCCTGTCCAAGGTTTGCTTTCGATCCAACTGTTATACAAACAGCTCAGCATTGAAAAGATTGCTATTGCTAATATTGCAATCGGTATTCGAGCAAATATTCGAGTGACGACAGATGATAACTCTTGTTCAATTGTAATCGATGTGTATCGATCGACGATTATGTACTGAAAATTACTCGATTCAATAAGATCCAAAAACAGCTTTTGCCATTCTTCCACTTTGCTTCTTTCAAGTTTCGAGTAGTCGTTAAAGTAATAAACGAGCCGCAATACTTTAGCACTTTTAACGTAATCGTCTGCAGTTTTTTCGACTCCTCCTAAAAATAGACTCGTTAATTGGAAATCGTATTTATCTTTCTTGCTTAAAGGGTATTTGATAGAATAAGTGTTGTTTTCCATCATTTTGACTTTGTCTTGCATCAATAAAATAGAATTATCGAAGCATCTCTTGTTATTTCTTGTGCATAAATCTTTATATGTAAAATTCTCTGCAGTTTTTATATTTTGAACAGTTTTATCCAATTGAATAATTTCTTGAAATAATTCTCTTCGAAGCACAGATCCTTCATCTTTTGCCGTAACTAAAAGTACTGCTATGTTTGGTTCTCCGTTTATCCTTTCCATGTGTGCATCGGAAGATAGATTAATTGGAAATAATCTTTCTATGGAGGCTTCTTCAGTGACGTGTCTGGTATTTTTGGGTGCGAGTAGATGTTTTATATTCTTTTCTTCGTGCCACTTGTGAAGACCCGTAGCTAATATCACGGATACAATCACCGGAATGACGATAAAGTAAGAAGGATTTCTACCAATACATAATCCTAATTGTCTAAACTTCTTCGATAAGAAAATATTGATATATTTCAGTTTCATAACGGATCTGAAAAATGTTAATTATTTAATCAATTGGTATTATTTTTCCATATATTAAATAATAACTAAACTGTAATGTGAATTAGTTTAATAAGTCAAGAAAATTTTTAATGAACATCAATAATAACTTAAAGGAAAAACTGTAAATATTACGTTAATATCTGGAAGTTGATAATAATATTGAATAAACTTACTCAAATACTGTTGTGTACTAATTATTCTTAGATAATATAGGTAATCTTTAAAACTCGATATAAGTTAAATAATAAAAATTTATATCATTAGCAACTAAATTCATTTTTAACGAATTTAGGTTAATATGATGAATAATTGTTTATTGTGTACAGTAAAACTACAATTATCTACAATTTTCTAATGTAAGAAATAAAATATATTTCCTTACTCATACGTTTCCACATTTAATATTTTATTCGTACGTAATTATGAACTGTACAATCGTACATAACGGGATATTTAGACAGAAAAAAACACTGTTTTCTGCAAATTTTCGTTTTTAATAACACTAATTTTAAGTGGGTTCATGTAATAAGTACTGGGTGATCGTAATTACAGAACCCGAATTTAATACCAGCCAGATAGATATATAACACTATAAATGAAATAAATTTTATACGGTGCCATTTCAAGATATTCAGAAGACATTTACAAAAGAAAAATAAATTCTTACTAATAAAACTGACTATTATGGCACTTTTGGCGCTACTACCAATAAGCTTTGAGTGTATACAAGATAATCACGCTATATAGAGACATTAGACAATGCAGGGGGAATGCAATCAAGTAATCATGAATATGTTTAAACAGTATTCAACAACTGATTCTCTGATATTCTCTCATCCAAAACTATATTATTTTTCAAATTTGGCAAATTTTCAACATGTTCTCTACAAACCACTTTTTTTATGTGTCTGACAAATCAGACTGCTTGTTTTGTTGCTAACAATAACGATTCGTTCTGATTCGAATTTATTTCAATAGGATTTAAATGTATGCATAAGTTATAAATATAAAAGAAAATGTCATTAAATATCACGTTAATTAAAAACATGAACTTTTACAAATGTTTTTCAAAAAGTTTTGCACCATAATTTAAATCTGGACAACGAAGACTGTGACTTGGCTCCACTATTCAGTAGTTGTACCCGAGGCCATTTAAAAACGTTGTGAAAAATTTAAAGATCCTTGCCAGGCGGAACCGTAACAGCTTCGTTAAAAAATGGCGAATACCAGTGACGTACAGTACGTTTCAAGCAGCATACAGTGATAAAATTCGTCGTCGCTGAAATGGAGCTGTTAAAAACATTCACAAACGATTGTGTGGTGACTATGCTACTGCAACCTATCAACCGTCGACAGGTTGCAACGCCCAACCATTCACGGCGCGCCGTAAATCGTTGGGCGAAATGTGAGAAGTCAATGATAATAGGGCCCACCAGTAACCGAGTTGTCTTCGTACCCAGAACACCGGGAATTTGGTCGTGGGTTCGCGCCTTGCTCGAACGGGCTGTCCATGTAAAGTTTTCTAGGTTTTCTCCACGTCCTAACGCCTAAATAGGGGCCAGTTTTCCTTAAAAAGACATTCCGAAAGGCATCCCCTTAATCAGATCGCCCAAATGTTGCGTTGCAATAATTTAACAAACAAACAAACAACGACAATAGGAATACCATATCTCTGCGATTTGGCGCCACATCTGTCATGGCAACCATAATGCAGCGCGTTGATGAACCGATTTAACAGGAATCACCGATTACCGGGAGTGTTCGTCAAATCATACGTAAACACGTGTATGTCAAAATGTGTTCACGATGAGTCCCGAAGCAGCTCACGATTAACCTAACAGCAGCAAGGAAAACCATCGCATACAAATTCTTGTAACGCTAGCAGTTTAACGGTTTGCATCTGATAACGCAAGCCAAAGATAAAGTTCCAGTAAGATGAAGATGTTCTCAATGCTACGAGAAAGTGTTTCCATGCACAGAATTAGGACGGGTATTCGAGCCGCCACGCGTGTCTTTCATTTAATGCTGGCGTATGGCCAAATACAAGGGCGGAAACTTGATTAAAAAATGACATGAAATTCCTAACTTTCATTATTGTGTGTTTCATTCATCCTACCATCAAAATAAATTCTGTTGCATTACATTTTGAACGAAACTTGTAGTATTAAACATTTTAATTACGATAATTTCGTATGAATATAAAAAATTTTTATAAACATAAGATAATAAATACGATAAACGATAAAAAAATTATGTAATATTCTCTTGTCATCAAGTTTTATGTTTAATTATGTTTAGCAAAATATTAATTGAGTAAACGTCCATTCTAAATTAAGATCGTCAATAAAATAATATATAATGCAGTGTTTAAAGTTTCGTGAAGGATTAGAAAACCTGTTCGTTATCTCCCGAACATATCTAAATTACAGATATTTTCATAAACATAAAAAACTTTTATATTCTTTACGATCGTGACTAAATCGATTAGGAGTCTCGCTAATTATCATCAAGTAATTTCATGATTAAGAGAATTAAAAATAAATTATAATTATGTATTATTTATAGAGAAAATTCTAATAAGTCTTTAAATATTATTTTATTTTCAAGCTTCTGCGTATATTATTGTACGTGTGGATAGCGTAAGTGGAAACAATGAGTAATTTAAATATTTGGATAAGTCTAATTTTATTGGATTTTTGTTAATTTACAATTTATTTAATTCAGTTCGTTAATATTTTGTATTCATTTATAATTTTAACTTGACAAAATATTAATTAAAATCCGTAAATTCAGAAACAGAGAAAAGTTATCAGCAATTATAAAACACTTTTGTTTATCATATAATAAATAAACGCAATAAAAGAGTTCAAATCCTTAAATTGGTGTAAGCATTACATAAAGGATTGGATATAAACTTTAAATTAAATTTTAAAGCTATTTTGATTACTTCATCTACGACTTAACAATAGAAAACTGTAGAAAATTCTTACTTTCGAATTAATGAAACATTTTATAATAATTAGTATTAAACTTAAAATAATAAAGGAGTAAATACAGTAAGATGGGTCGTATGATATAATAAATATATAATTGAATATTCTTTCTGATTTTTACTATAAATTTGATACTGTTGTGCATGCAATAAGAAGAAAAACTAACTTAATTTTATCTGATTTTCCGCTATAAATACATTAAATAATTTTTAGAATTACATACCTCTTTATAATTCCTTTATAACAGCAGTAAATATGATCGTCTATCGATATAAATTTAATTAACAATACGATAATTTTAATTAATAATTTCAATTACGATTGGTGAATTATTCAGAGGGAAGTGTGACCATCGCAACAAAATTTATTTCAATTTGTGAGTTATTTTAAAACATAAACATTTGTTTACGTGCAACTTTGACGTTTTTGACACGTGCGTGTCTTCTACCAATAGAATATTCAGGAAAAATATTCGTAATTTCTTTCCGCATAATTAACCGCAAAGTTAACTGAAGAAACTACCTCGTAAAAAATGTTATTTTAAAAATTATATAATGTTTGATTTAAAATTCATGTTATTATTAATACTTTTTACGAAATGTTTTAAAATATATTTGTGTTTTTTGAACAATTACGAAGAAAGTGTTGAGGGTCTCGAGGAAAGAATTTTGTTTCAGAAACCGCACAAAGTTCACATTTTCGTTTTCCTCTATTAGACCTATATACGCCTACGTATTCAAATATTCCGTAGTTTAATTTGAAATATTTGGAAAGTATTATTTTATTTTTCGAAGCGATTTGTAAATGACCACGTCCCCGAAAAGCCCGGACCTGGATACACTCTACACCGACCTATTATCCTACAGCTACTGCGGATAAGTTGCTGCTTTTGACGGGTAGACGCGTGACTTCTAATACTGTTGTTTCCTGTTAATTCTGTATATGCATGAGTAATAACGTGTAATTTCCACACACCCGTCGCTTCATCGAATTGTTGAAAACAATTTAGGAACACTTTCTAACAATATGAACAATATTTGTTATATTATTCGGTATTGCTGACTCGCTATCTTTTCTTGTTTGCCCATTTTTTCGTGTTATTCTGTTATTATTTCGTTTCATTTTTAAAATACTGTATTATATAATTATATTAAAATTTTAATATTATCTACAAAATAATTATCGGCTTTTTGACAATTGATTAACTAAATATATTTATTTCTTCTGGTCTATCTATTTTTTTTGTTTAATTTCCGTACTGCAGAAGGTGATGAACTTGAGAGTGAAATTGGTTTTTATTTACGTGTTTCTAACGTGAAGGAAACTGGGAAATTCCAAGTAGTCAGCCCTTTGGTCAGGAGAGAATCCACGATCAGCATTTGTTGTTTTTATCCACTCGATCACTGTGTGTTAAATTCTAAAAGATAAAACAGAACGGTACAATAATGCTTCGCCATTGTTATTAGCGGAGTAGGAATGATTTTTATTAACAATTAAAAAAGTATTTTATTTAAT